TGGGGGATGTCTGACTGACAGCGTAGGCCCGTTAGCACTGGTGCAGAGGTGGGAGAGGCTCCTGCCACCACCGCTGCACTCACCAGCGGTCAGCCTCGTATTGTGTCTGAGCGGAATTCCCCCTGTGGGAGTGCACTGACCACCAGGGGGCAGCTCCTGTGTTAAGCATCTGCCCCCGGTGGTCAGTACATTTCATAACGACCGGTTGTTGTGCCATTCAGTTGATTTGCATATTACCCTTTTATTATATACTAGAGGCCGGTGCACAAAATTCATGCATAGGTGGGTTCCCTCATCCCGGTCTGCACCCTCTCCAATCCAGGACCACTCGGAGGATGTTTGACTGCCTCTCTCAATCTGCGACTATTGGCTCCTAACCGCTCGCCAGCTTGCCTGCCTGATCGCCCTTAACCAACTCTACCTGCTTGGTCGCCCCCAACCACCGTTGCCTGCCTTGCCCCTAACTGCTCCCCTTCTGGCCTGATTGCCCCTAACTGCCTCTGCCTTGCCACACACCTGGGACCCAGGATTCTCTCCGCCAGCCAGTTGCAGGCATCCAGGGCCCAGGCTTCCCTCTCTCTGGCTGGCCACAGGCATCCAAGACCTGGACCAGCCACAGATGCAGGGAACTGTGGGTGGGTGCCTTTGCCCAGGCCACAGCTGCAGGCACCCAGGACCGCGAGGTGGGTGGCTTGTCCTTCTCCCAGACTGTAGCCTGGCTGTTCCTGATTCCTCTCTCAAGAGCTTATTTGTGTCTGGCTGATCTCCATTCCCCTCTCCCCCGTGTTAAGTGTCTGAGCCATTATAGCATGATGGTGTGAGGATGTGACAAACATTTGCATATCAGCTCTTTATTACATAGGAGGATAGAAAGGCACTTCAGAATCTTGCTGAAGCCAGTGTCATGACTTTCCTTCAATAGTGTTCTAGTTAATAATAATTCAGGCCATAAATTTGTTGTATTAATGCTCATTATCACTCATGGGAAGACTTTGGGGAGGAGGGCAGGTGCCATTTGAGTTGGGGGGCAAAGGGAAGGTAGTAGTTCCTGTGCCCAAAACAACACAACCAACTCAGCCCCCCAACCATGCCCCACACCAATCTTCTCCTCTGAAAGTGCAAATGCATTGTGAGGTGTGTACATGTGGGGTACACTGGTATAAATTATGTCTATGCCAGCAAAGGGTTAATAAAGAAATGATACAGGATAGAAAATGGTGATACCAAAGGGGAAAAATGTATCTGTTAGAGAAGTGGAGGGACCCGTGTTAAATACTGTCTATTTCACAGTTTTGCTGAGGATCCCATTATGACAAACGGCTGTTACAGAAAACAACATTCTATAACCTTACCTTGCATTGGCTTCTATGTTTGTTGTTTCTAGTGAACTCAGATGAATTCCAAGTGGCCAGACCTAGTGCATTGGCATGATTTGTTTAACCTAAGCTGTTCTCCTTCATGAAGATTTTTTTTTTAAAGCTTTAGCAAATTCATAAATAAAGACAATCACAAAACCACTCTGGAGGGTAGACAAATAAAATGACTACTTATAATAATTTTACAATTTTGTTATTTAAATTTTCTTTAGTTTTTTTTTTTATCTGTGAAAGCAGAGGGCGTGAAATAATTCCTCAGCTGACTTGAATAAGTCAAAAAAGCCCGTTTTGAATGCTTATAAAAAGATCAGTTATAATTAAAAACATTTTTCTGTTTGTCTTCTGAAGGAACTATTTGAAAATAAAAAACATCACTGTGGATGCTTTATTAACAATAAAAAATCTATAATTCCAGAAAAAAAGTTTGATTAAAGAAATATACTGAGCCAAATATCTATTTTGCTTTAATTAGCAGTGTTTACTCATGCACACATTCAAAAATAAGCATCACAGCAAATAGAATACAAAGATATGGGAGGGGTTCAGACCACAGATTATCTATTAGGAATAGAGAGTTTGATCAGCACTGATGCTAAGTTTATACAACCATTGCTGGCCCCTTGGTCGAAGAGGGGAAAGAAAGGTAAATCTAAAACAGGCACTAAAGAATCAACCTTTGCCTAAGTTGCTAGGGTGATGAATTCCCCTTGGAAGTAATCGGCGAGGCAATTGGAAAACAGCACAACTCTAGGGCCCTGCTCCTGACAAATAAACCTGCAGCATTTACTATGAAACCAAGAAGTATATGCTGCTATGCTATGCTCTGTTTAGCTCAACTTTTATCTTCTCATGGTCAAAGTGTTTTTAAGAGTTTGTGGCTTCTAAAATAAATTCTGGTGTTTTTTTTTTTTTTTTTTTTTTTTTTTTTTGTGTGTGTGTGTGTGTGTGTGTGTGGTTTTTTTTTTTTTTTTTTTTTTTTTTACAGTAAACTGGATGAATTGACCACATGTATAAAAATTAAAAGACCTTATTTACAAAATCATTAAGATACAGAAACAAAGGCACTGCAGGAGTTTTAAACTGGAGTCCTTTGTAAGGCTTCACGTGAACACTTCCTCCACTGCAGGCTCTCTATTTACAAAGCACTTTATTTTACACTCTCTTGGATAAAAAAAAAAAAAAAGAAATAATAATAATAAAAGAGAAGAATTAGAAGGTACAGCATATGATGGTAAATATTTTCTAGTTCACTCCTGTTTTAAGGTTTCAGCTAAGAAACACCAGTATTTCAAACAAACTCCAAAGTTGGCAGAAATGTTAAAACCTGCCTATTCTGGCCTGCCTCAACAAACATGCATTTGTATTTTTAATAACAAATCCTTTGGAGCGTTTGGGCTATGTTCCTTCTTCCTTGAGATTAAAGTCAGGTACACACAGGAAGAGGATGCTATCTCTGATAAGAACATATTCTTTGCTTTTTTTTAAATTAAAAATTTTAATGTTGACATTATTGCACATTTGTTATTTTGTTTGCAGGGTAAATACTATTCTTTGGGGAAGGTAATGTAGTTCGAAATGTAAGTAAATGACTATATTATGAATTAGGTTGTAATAGGCATTATCTTTTTCAGGGGGAGTGGAAATTCCCATGCAGATGATCCCATCATTTAATAGCTACTTAGAGGTTTTATTTTAAAATTAATGGTGGATAATAAATAGAAAAATTATTGTCTCCTGAAATTTTGGCAAGCATATTGATTACAGTCTTTATTTAGTAGTGTTTTCAAGTTAAGCTTGGCAACAAAGATTTGTGAGTTTTACTGCAAGCCATCATATTTGTTGTTTCAGCAGCGCATAGGCAAAACAACAACAGCAACAACACCCCATATTAAGTTTGGAGTATATGCAGAGTTTTACAATTTGTCTATTCTATCAAAGTGAAATGAAACCCTCAGACATTGTTCTAGATGTTTCAATAGCATCCTTCCTTGAAATTGAGTTAAAATTGTTTTGGGGTTCTTGAATTTACCAAGTTGTTGCTTCAATTCTTCATTCACAAAAATGTATTTTCAAACAAACAAACAAACAAACAAAATGACATGGGAAGTTTTTGGTAAATTGCCTGAGAAGTCATTTGTGAATTTTGTGTGAATGAGCAATTTTCTGAAGAATGTCTCAGTTTATTAAATCTTCTTATTTTAATCTTATAGAGAAACTGTTTAGGGATAATAAATAATATATAAAATTGCAAATATCATTCTTGGGTGGAGGTGAAGCATAAAACTATAGTAATCATATTTTGTTAATTTTTCAGCAGTCATTGTTTGAATGCTTCTCTGTTACTAATCTTTCTAATTAGTGTAGCTTTAGTAAGAAACATATAGATGATATGTATTATATATATTTAGAAATACACTTCAGTCACTAGTTATTGCCCACCAATCGTGATATAATTCCATTAATATTTTTAAAAACAGGAAGATGTCAATAATATGGGAAGTGCTTTTGGAATTTGATAGTGCTGATTCAGAATTCTTACAAAACTTAGCAATATGCTACAATGCCATTTTATATGAAAGTAAGTCATAGTCCAAAGGAATTTCCCCCAGCCTTGGAAATTAAATATTGGGTAGCACTAAGTCATGAATGCAGCAAATATTTATCTATTTCAATTGCTCTAAAAGATACAGAAGCAACATCCTCACTATCCACACATGTTACACACTAGGGTAAAGGCACCACATATAGATACTGTATTTGACCATCTTTGGAATGGAAAAGAAGCTCAATATCAAACCTGATGACTAAAGCATTTAGAAAAGCAAAAGAGCTCAGTTCATACTTTAGGAAGCTGAGTTGGTATTTCATTCTCCCAACCCCCCAGCATACACCTGCCTTCCTAAGGAAGAACCAGCCCTGTGAATGAGAACTGGAGTCAAGGTTAAAGTAATCTTGCCCAAGAGAGTGGAGTGTGTATCGGGGAGAAAAAAGCAGTTCAGCTCAAATGAGCAATAATAACAGCAACACTTCCCCTGGAAAACATGCACCTCCTGGACCTATGTTTGAAATTCATCCTCCTAAGTCATCCTGTGACTAGATAAGTGACAACGTCCCATCAGCTGAAGGGGAGGAAAATACAGCACAGACCCTTTTAAATATATATTACTTTAAAAAATAATGAAAAGTGCGAAGTATTGTAACTGTCCAGAACCCTTTGCAGACAGTAAAGGAAAAGCTTTGTCTGTCCTATTATTGTTTGCCCTTCAGTTGACATACATGCCCAGTTGCATCAATAGGATTACAACAGGAACACGGTCAGCTCCAGGTTTCCTCTGTCAGGTTCCTTGGTCTTGTTTAAAGAAACAGGCTCAGGGAATGCACAGAAAACAAACTTCCCCGATTGAAGTTCCGAGGTGGTCTTGCCTTCTCCCACCCTTCAGAAACACCCCTCGTGTTACCGACAGACAGCACCGGACAGCAATGTCACGGTCGTGTTGCACCACCACTTCACTTGTTGAATTGTGTGAAGGCAGCACTTGGCCACAGCAACTTGGTGAACCTCGCCTGCCTTGCTCTTTCAGTGAGCCCCCAAGATTTCCTTCCAGTCCCATGGAAATGTCTTACCTGCATGTGTCCCTGGTACATTCTGCTTGGACTTCTTCAGGGCTTCCCGAGGCCGCCGGATGCTTTCCCCCGCGTTTCCTTGCACACACCGGGCTCAGAGGGGAGAAGGAGGCGTGCACACCGGGTTCTCCCAGGGTGCCCCTGAGCCGGCGGCTGAGGCTCCAGGTAGCCCGCCCGGAGGCCCTGGGCAGAGCCTGCGGGCTGCCGGGAGCTGTCCTCCGCGCGGGGTGCTGAAAGCGGACAACGGAGAGGACAGCGCGCGGAGCAGGCGAGGAGCCCGGCAGGCGCGGGTCCTGCGCTCCCGGCGTCTCTACAACTCTCTCCTCCTCCACCGAACTCTTTCTCGCTTCCTGCCCGGCTGCCTCATGTCTCTCTCACTCTTGGCCGCGAGCCTCCTCCTCCCCAGCCCTGACGTGAGCGCCCACACCAGCCGCCGCCGCCGCCGCCGCCGCCGCCGCAGCTGCCGAGCAGAGCGAGCGGAGAGCGCGCCGCCCTCCCGGCGGCTCCCCTGCCCAGAGGCTGCGGGCCGGGCACGCGCGCGCATCCCCGGAGCCGCCAGAGGGCGGCGCGCGCCTGCCCCCACCCGGCGCGGGCTCGGGGAGGAGCGCACGCGCGGCGGCCAAGTGCCCGCGGGTGGTGGTCGCGCTAGGCAGTCGGGTGGGGTGCACCGGCTGCAAAGGGGGTGGGAGGGTGGGGAGGGGACGGATTTTAACTGAGCGGATGGCGGGCTACAAGAAAAGTGGGATGATGCCCCAGGGAAGGGGGTGCGGGGAGGAGGGGGCCCTCATGTAGGATGACAGGAGATTTGACTTTGAGTGGTGGGCACACGCTGCACTATGGAGATCTTGTGACATCGAAACCCACACCTGAAACCTATTATTATTCATGTTGACCAATGTTCCACCAATAAATTTAATTTTAAAAAGTGGGAGGAAAATGCATTGTTGCTATGGGGCGGACCATCAATTCTGACTGAGCTGCCGTTCTACAGACATGATGGGATGACCACGGGGGTTCCTGAAGAGTTTACTTCTCTTCTGATGTGGCTCTCACAAGTTACCTCCGTGTCGCTTGGTGGATAGGTCTCTCCCCGCTCACCCCACTCACCCTACCCCCAATTCATCACTGAGCATTCTATAATTTAAATCGCAAACCATGAAAGGCCTTCCATGATTCTTCTCCCTAGCACTTATCATCTAACATCCTGTATTATATATATATATATGGCCTGCCTCTGTTTATATATACAATGTATTTCCATGAGATCAGGGATATATTGGGGTATGAGCGTATCTATTTTACACAGATGTCTCACAGCACAGTATAGTATCTCTTGGCACATGGTTGGCACTCTAAATATTTGTTGAACAAGTGGATTTTTTTATAATGTTGAGATAGAGTGTATTTAAGTATGTCTCAATTTGAAGAGTTTTTACATTAGTTTGATGTAGTTAGGTTATAAGTGTATATATATACATATACACACAACATGGGCTGGTGTATGTGTGTATATACTGTGATTACCTGGTTTTGTTGATAAAAAGAATTCCAATCACACTACTGCCCCCCAAATTATATACAGCATGACATAATCTCTCAAATATTGCATATAGCACAATATACTTTTCATCAAGTTAAAAAAAAATACGAACTCCCTGAGACTATAAAAATATACTTATGTATAACTATATGAAAAGGAAAGCAACAGGACAATGAACATGGGATTTGGAATGTTGGGGACAGCAGGTAAGGGGAGGCAAGGGAAACGGATGGGGAGGCACTTTATATGAAGGTGAACTGTCAATGCTTTAGCTATTATGTTCACCCAAATGAATTAACCTATAAAATTACTATGTAACTAAATAAAACAGAGCCATGCATGGACTAGAAAGGAGAAAATGAAATGCACCAAATAATTAATTAATCCAATTCAATGCATCTGAGGTCCTAAAACAACTGACTAACCAAACTACAAAGTGATTAAGACTTGCAGGCAGGAGACATAGATTCCTATTGATTCCACCAATAGTTAAATTTGGACAATTTCCTTTTCCCTCTCTAGACTTCATTTTTTTTCATGTCTAAATCCTGATAAACTCATTAGTTTATCCTGAAAATTGAAATATGTTAAGAAGCTCTGTAAACTGTAAAGACCATCCAGTACTTATATAGGACAGAACACTGGAATAGGAGTCAGCGCTACTTACCTCACTGCAATCTTGGCAAGTGTACTAATTCTCTATTTCCTCAATTTTTTGAAGTAAGGCAAATATCTGTTCAGCTTACAGTACAGAGCTGCTGAGGAATGAATGTCTGCAAAGGAAGCTCTAAATAAACCACCCTATATCAACAATGAGGTTTCACCTTACACCTGTCAAAATGACTATCATCAGCAAATCAACAAACAATAAATGCTGGCAAAGATGTGGAGAAAAAGGAACCCTCATGCACTGCTGGTGGGAATGCAGACTGGTGCAGCCACTATGGAAGACAATATGGAGTTTCCTCAAAAAACTAAAAACAGAACTCCCATTTGACTCAGTGATCCCATTTCTAGTAATATACCCAAAGAAACTAGAAACAACAATCAGTAGTATGAACCCCCTATGTTTATAGCCACACAATTTACAATGACTACGATCTGGAAACAGCCCAAAGTGCCCCTCAGCAGATGAGGGGATAAGAAAAGCCGTGGCACATCTACTCAATGGAATACTATGCTGCTATAAAAAAAAAAGGAACTCACCATTTGCAACAGCATGGATGGACCTGGTGAGTATTATGCTAAGTGAAATAAACCAGTCAGAGAAAGATAAGTATCACATGATCTCAAATGTGGATTCTAATGAACAAAATAAACTGATGAATAAAATAGCTTCAGAGACATAGAAGCATGGAACAGACTGATGAATTTCAGAGGCAAGGTAGAGATGGGGGGGTTGGGAGGAAAGTGATTAACTGGGGAACTTATATGCATACCAGAGGCCCAGTGCACAACATTCATGCTTTTGCGGGGGGGGGGGGGGGCGGAGGGTCCTTCAGCTGGGCCTGCACTCTCTTGCAATCCGGGAGCCCCATGATTGATTGCCCTGCAGAAGGAGGCCTGGCCCACCACTGCTGGCTGAGTAGTCAGGGCATCCCTCTTTAGGATAATTGTGGGGCGATGGTGGGGCCCCCCCGACCAATTGCATTGCACCCCCCTTGGTGGCGGCAGTCAGTGCTGGGTTGCTGTGGTGCCTGCAACCCAGGAGGGACTGAGAAGTCAGCAGTTCAGCCTGCTTGCCAGTCCCAGCCCACCCAAGCCTGCTGCACCTGCAGCCTGGTGTTCGGTCATCTGTTATGGACCCTGGCTCTTTATATATTAAGATGGCAGATTCAAGGAGCTCTCAACCATAAATTTATTTGAACCAACATGGCAACTACCTAGTTGAAGATAGCACTCATATCCTTTTGTTAAACCTAAGTAACTCATTTAGTTACTTCCTACATTCACAAAATCTCAGGACTACAAAGTGCATCTGTGAAGGCATACCTCTCTTCATTCATTGATTGATATTTATTAAGAACTTAGTATGTTGGAGTGCTGTGACAAGTACTGAAATATACTGATGAATAAGACAGACCTGCCTGGTCTCTATCTCCCAGAGTCCAGCTACCTGTCAGGAGTATACTTTACCATCCCAGAAAGAGAAATCTGTCTAGACTTTTCTAAAATTAAAAAAAAAAAAAGACACAACAACAAAAACAAACAAAATTCCTAAAACCTCTACAATGATTACACAATTTCCCCCATTTCCCCTAAGAGTTCACATCTAACCTCTTCTAGTCAAACATTTCCTCATCAATTGTGAGTTTTAATCCATTCTATGGTACAAATATTTCCTTTAAAGCCTATAAACATGAGCTTTGTGATCAAAGACACTTTGCTGATTACCAATTCAAGTGTCAGTATCTCGAGAAACTTTTGATTCAGAAGACCTAAATAATATATATATTATTTAGGTCGGCCAAAAGTTGTCATTCAAATCTAGCATTTTAGCTTAAGTAATCTGATGTTTGGGTGCAAAAAAACCCCAAACCCTTTTCATGTGCAAGTATATGTACCAGTAGAAAATCGATAGCGTCAAGCATGTATGAACTGTATTCTAGTGAACCCTACGAATTTTATGATATACATGACAAAAAGCTGAATCATAATCCTACATAATAAAAGCCCAGAGACCGAATGGTGGAACTACCAGGATGATCCGTCAACCAGTTGCTATGACACACATTGATGACCAGGGGCAGACGCTCAATGCAGGAGCTGCCCCCCTGGTGGTCAGTGCACTACTACAGTGGGAGTGCAGGTTGGCTGACCAGGATGAGTGGCTGTTCCTGCTGTGAACCTCAGGTCGATGGGCAGGAAGCTGAGTTGAGATCAACTCTTCCTTACCCCAGGCTCCTCCTCGCTCCCTGCTGCCTCCTCTGGATACCCACAGCTCACATAGCACCTCTGCCGGGCTAGCAGAGCTGACCATAGAGGTTGGGAGGTGGGTTCATGGCTGCTGCGGGACTGAGGCCTACTCTGCTGCCTCTCAGTGCTATTGTCTCTGGGCTGTGCCCTGACTGGGTCTCTTGGAGAGGGGACTGCTTCGGCTCCAGGAAAGATGCTGGACCAGAGAGTAGCTGCTCAGAGGGTGGGTCCACAGCAGCTTGGATGACCAGGATGAGTGGCACTCCCAGAGTAGGCCAATCCCCTCAGGCCACACCTCCCACCAGTGCACAAATGCCATGCACTGGGCCTCTAGTATAATTATATTTGTGGAAAGCTTTATGCAAATTAGGTTGTTTTCAAGAGATCTTGAAAGGAGAAAATGTGCATAACTTTAACTTATGACTGCAATAATGGTGAGAAAGTACTACTTTGCATAATCTCTGCCTCCAGTGTTCCCCCACCCTGAATCATTAAGGCGAATGGACAGAAGGCAAACGAACAAACCAAAGATGCAGCAGTTTGGAAAGATGTGGTCCTTTTGGAA